AGATAAAATTGTTTCAAGCATCGACAGAACCGGAAGTTCCCCTTCTTTCAAACTTTCAAAGAGAGGAGGATAGGTTATTCACATTTCATTTGATGTCCAAAGGTGAATTGAAAGCTTAGCAGTGGGAATTCTAAAGATTCTCCAGGAGAATAATAGAGATGTCTCCTACGTTACCCATAATACATGGAAGTATCGACGTAATTTTATAGAGTCATTCGGTCTGAATGCTACATGAAGAATATAAGCCAAATGATGGAATGGGAAGACCTAGGATGTAGAATATCATACCATGAGTGATTCGACAGATTTGGATTCATATAGATATCCACCCATGTGGTACTTCATTGTACGATATATAAAAGATCCATCTGTATAGATTTCATCATCTATATCCAGAAAGCTGTATGCTTTGGAAGAAGCTTGTACAGTTTGGAAAGGGGTTTTGATTGAAAAAAAAGAAGAATCTACTTCAACTGATCTGCCCTTAGGCACGGCCATACATAACATAGAAATCACACTTGGAAAGGGTGGACAATTAGTTAGAGTAGTGGGTGCTATAGTAAAACTGATTGCAAAAGAGGAGAAATCAGTCACATTAAAATTACCTTCTAGGGAGGTCTGTTTGGTATCCAAAAATTACTCAGCAACAGTCGGACAAGTGGGGAATGTTGGGGCAAACCAGGAACGTTTGGGTAGAGCTGGATCTAAGCGCTGGCTAGGTAAGCGTCCTGTAGTAAGAGGAGTAGTTACGAACCCTGTAGACCATCCCCATGGGGATGGTGAAGGGAGAGCTGCAATTGGTAGAAAAAGACCTAAAACCCCTTGGGTTTATCCTGCACTTGGAAATAGAAGTAGAAAAAGGAATAAATATAGTGATAATTTGATTCTTCGTTGCCATAGTAAATAGGCGAGAAAATAGAATTTCTTTCTTCGTCTTTCCAAAAACCAAAAATAAAAAATAAAAAATAGGAGGCAGTTATGGCACATTCACTAAAAAAAATTCTTTTGTAGTCAATCATTTATTAAGAAAAATTGATAAGCTTAATAAAAAGGCAGAAAAAGAAATAATAGTAACTTGGTCTCGGGCATCTACCATTATACCCACGATGATTGGCCATACAATTGCTATTCATAATGGTAAGGAAAATTTGCCTATTTATATAACAGATCATATGGTAGGACACAAGTTGAGAGAATTTGTACCTACTTTAAATTTTCGAGGACATGCAAAAAGTGATAATAGATCTCGGTATTAATCTTTTTTTTAATATATAATAGATAGATACTTATGATTCATTAATAGGAGGTCACGAAAAAATAGAAGTGGTCGACATATATCTCTATTAGCTGACAAATCAAGAAGAGTAATTGATCAAATTCGTGGATGCTCTATGAGAAAACACTCATGATACTAGAACTCATGCCCTAAAAACATGTTATCCCATTTTTAAATTGATTTACTCTGCAGCAGCAAATGCTAGTTACAATATGGATTCCAAGCGAAGCTAATTTAGTCATTAGTAAGGCCGAAGTTAACGAGGGTACTATCGTAAAGAAATTCAAACCTCGAGCTCGAGGACGTAGTTATTCGATAAAAAGACCTACTTGTTATATAAATATTGGAGTGAAAGATACATCTTTACATGATGAATATGGACATATATATTCATTAAAGAACCTTGATGGAAAAATAAGTATACAACTATGGTATATCATGATATGTATAGTATTGGGGGAGTATGGGACAAAAAATAAATCTGCTTGTTTTCAAACTTGGTACAACCCAAGGTCATCATTCCCTTTGGTTTGCACAACCAAAAAATTATTCTAAGGGTTTACAAGAAGATTAAAAAATAAGAGATTTTATCAAAAATTATATACAAAAGAATATGAGAATATCCTCCGGCGTCGAGGACATTGCACATATAGAAATTCAAAAAAGAATTGATTTGATCCAGGTCATAATCTTTATGGGATTCTTGAAGTTATTAATAGAAAGTAGATTGCGAGGAATCCAAGAATTACAGATTAATCTAGAAAAAAGAATTTAATTATGTGAACCAAAAACTTAACGTTGCTACCACAAGAATTGCAAAACCTTATGGAAACCCTAATATTCTTGCAGAATTTATAGCCAGACAATTAAAGAATAGAGTTTCATTTCTAAAAGCAATGAAAAAAGTTGTAGGGCATATCGACGGAAAAGAAATTGCAGATACAAAAGGAATTCAAGTAAAATTGCAGGGCATATCGACGGAAAAGAAATTGCACGTGTCGAATGGATCAAAGAAGGTAGGGTTTCCCTATAAACCATTCGAGCTAAAATTGATTATTGTTCCTATACAGTTCGAACTATTTATGGGGTCTTGGGTATCAAATTTTGGATATTTATAGACGAAGAATAAGAAACCTTTACTTGTCTTTCCCTTCTATCCATTAATAGAAAAAAAATGGAAATTCGTTCATTCTTTTTTTGGTGAATCAAAATGAACAATTTTAATTCTTAATTCTATAGGGTTGAATAAAAATTCAACTGACCATTTGATATAATTGCTATGCTTAGTGTGTGACTCATTGGTCTTTTAGGGTTAGGATTAAAAAAGGACTAGCCCATAGTATGAACTAATAACCAACTCATCACTTCGTTTATCTGGATATAAAGAATCGGTCAAGATATGATAAATCAGTCATATCTTTGTAGCAACTGATTTTTTTTTTTTTTTGCATAAACTTTAATTAGAAGTTGTAAAACAAAATGAAAAAAGTAAATGTGTGGATAAATGGAAGGATGAGAGCAAGAGAGAAATATAATATCAATGATAAAGAATTCCAATATGTAAGGTCTACTAGTCATCTCATAAAAGACAGTGTAATAAAGCATCAATACTAATTGATTCATCCATAATGAAATATTAAATTAATCAAGAGAAAAATAAAGAACTTGGAGCAAATAAAGACTAAGAAGATTGACTCAGGAACAAATTGGAATATGAGCTCCATTGTAGAATTCAGACCTAGTCATTAAGTACGTAGCCATGGGAACGATGGAACCTGTGCATGCAAAAGATTTTATTGAAAAAATGAATCTTAATGATTCACTAGTTGGGATGGCGAAATGAACCTGAGATTAATTCATCTATTGGGAGAAGTCAGGAACGAGCCCAACAAATGAAATAGAGATTGAAAGAGTAAATATTCGCCCACGAAAACTTTTTTTTTTTAGTTGCTAAACTTGGATAAAGGACAAAACAAAATAAAGATTTTTTAGAACGTTCTAAAAAAGGCTATTTTTTACAAAAATGTTAATCATTTCGATTAAATATTTTTAATCCTTTTATTCGCGAGGAGCTGGATGAGAAGAAACTCTCACGTTCGATTCTATAGTAGAGATGGAATTGTGAAACAACCATCAACTATAACCCCAAAAGAACTAGATTCCATAAACAACATAGAGGAAGAATGAAGGGAATATCTTATCGAGGTAATCATATTTGTTTCAATAAATATGCTCTTTAGGCACTCGAACTTGCTTGGATCACATCTAGACAAATCAAAGAAGGTTGATGAGCAATGACATGAAATGCACACCGTGGTGGAAAAATATGGGTTCATATACTTCTAGACGAACCGATTATAGTAAGACCCGCTGAAACACATATGGGTTTGGGAAAGGGATCCCCTGAATATTGGGTAGCTGTTGGTAAACCAGGTCGAATACTATACGAAATGAGTGGAGTAACCAAAAATATAGCTAGAAGGGCTATTTCAATATCAGCATCCAAAATGCCCATATGAACTCAATTCATTATTTTAGGATAAAAATGTAGAACCAACAGAAATGATTCTTGGGGATGAAAGATCCTTTTTTTGGGAAAAAAATATTCCTTTTTTTTTCTTCGTCCTTTGCATTGGAAGAATGGACTAAAAAATTGATATGATTCAACCTCAGACCTGTTTAAATGTAGCAGATAATAGCGGGGCTCGAGAATTGTTGTGTATTCGAATCATAGGAGCTAGAAATCGTCGATATGCTCATATTGGTGACATTATTGTTGCTGTGATTAAAGAAGTAATACCAAATATGCCCCTAGAAAAATCAGAAGTAGTCAGAGCTGTAATTATTCTTACCTATAAAGAACTTAAATGTGATAGTAGTATGATAATTGATATGATGACAATATTGCAGTTGTGATTGATCAAGAAGGAAATCCAAAAGGAACTATAATTTTTGGTGCAATCCCCCCGGAATTGAGACAATTAAATTTTACTAAAATAGTTTCATTAGCTCCCGAGGTATTATAAAATGAGATCACCGATATGTTTATAGTGGGTATTTGAAAGAAATAGATTAAGAACTAGATTAATTAGTAGATTGTGTCTCACGCATACACCTTTAATAATTCATATTCATAAAACAAATTAAGTAAAAAAAAAAACATGTTGATTATATCCAATTTTAAAACAAATTAAGTAAAAAAAAAACATGTTGATTATATCCAATTTTGGGGCACCCATAATTTTAGCTCACCATGGCTAGGGACACTATTTCTGAGATAATAACCTCTATATGAAATGCTGATATGGATAGAAAAAGAGTGGTTTGGATCGCATATTCTAATATTACCAAAAATATTGTAAAAATACTTTTCCGAGAAGGTTTTATTGAAAACATTAGAAAACATCGAGAAAAAACAAATCCTTTTTGGTTTTAAAACCTGCGGCATAGAAGGAATAGGAAAAGACACTATAGAAAATTTTTAAATTTAAAATGGATCAGTCGATCCGATCTACAAATCTATTCTAACTATCAACGAATTCCCAGAATTTTAGGTGGGATGGGTATTGTATTTCTTTCTACCTCTCAAGGTATAATAACAGACCGAGAGGCTCGACTCAAAGGAATCGACAGAGAAATTTTGTGTTATATATGGTAATCCTTTTAATATCCAAATTGGATCCAAAACTTCTTCCTATTTCTAAAAAAAGAAAAAAGAAAAGGGTTGAGTTGTCTAATATCGTTCCTTCTCCATTAGTTGATACTTCAAGGAGGCTTTTCCTGGAATGAAAGAACAAAAATGGATTCATAAAGTTTTAATTACTGAATCGCTTCCCAATGGTATGTTCCGGGTTCGGTTAGATAACGAAGATCTGATCCTAGGTTATGTTTCAGGAAAGATTCGGCGTAGTTTTATACGGATACTGCCAGGAGATAGAGTCAAAATTGAAGTAAGTCATTATCATTCAACCAGAGGACGTATAATTTATTGACTCTGCAACAAGAATTGGAAGGATTAGGTGGATTTTATTCAATATGATTCGAGATGAAAAATGGTAAGAAACTTATTTTCTTTCAAGAAGTAGATTCAGAATTAAGATAACGAATGACAGATATGAAAATAAGAGCTTCTGTTCGTAAAATTTGTGAAAAATGTCGCCTAATCCGTAGGTGGGGATGCATTATAGTAATTTGTTCCAACCCAAGACATAAACAAAGACAAGGATAATCAGACTCACTATAAGGACTCAATATAAAAATAAGGAATCCGTTTTAACATGAAATGGATATATCCATATATCTCTGACTCATATTTATGAGATGATAAAATATGGCAAAAGCTATACCGAGAATTGGTTCACGTAGAAATGGACGCAATGGTTCATGTAAGAGTGCAAGTAGAATACCAAAGGGGATTATTCATGTTCAAGCAAGTTTCAATAATACCATTATCACGGTTATAGATGTACGAGGTTGGGTGGTTTCTTGGCCCTCAGTGGGTACTTGTGGATTCAAGGGTACGAGAAGAGGGACACCCTTTGCCGCTCAAACTACAGTAGCAAATGCTATTCGTACAACAGTAGATCAAGGTATGCAACGAGCATAAGTCTTGATAAAAGGTCCCGATCTCGAAAGAGATGCAGCATTACGAGCTATTCGTAGAAGTGGTATACTATTAACTTTCGTACGGGATGTAACCCCTATGCCACATAATGGTTGTAGATCTTCGAAAAAAGACGTGTGTAGAAATAAACATTGAAGAAATTTCAAGAGAAACAAGAGAAATAAATGATTCAATCAAATCAAATACTATTGCTATGGTTCGAGAGAAAGTAACAGTATCAACTCGGACACTACAGTGGAAGTGTGTTGAATCAAGAGAAGACTGTAAATGTCTTTATTATGGACGCTTTATTTTGTCTCCACTTATGAAAGGTCAAGCCGAGACAGTTGGCATTGCGATGCAAAGAGCTTTACTTGGAGAAATAGACGAAACATGTATCACATGTGTAAAATCTGAGAATGTCCCACATGAATATTCTACCATAGCGGGTATTCAAGAATCGGTCCATGAAATTTTAATGAATTTAAAAGAAATTGTACCGAGAAGTAATCTATATGGAACTTGTGACACGTCTATTTGTGTTAGAGGTCCAGGATATGTAACTGCTGAAGATATCGTCTCACCACCTTATGGAGAAATCGTTGATAATACACAACATATAGCTAGCTTGATAGAACCAATTGATTTGTGTATTAGATTACGAATCAAGAGAAATCATGGATATTTTATCAAAATGCCACTTAACTTTCAAGATGGAAGTTATCCTATAGATGGTGTATTCATGCCTGTTCAAAATGCAAATCATAGTATTCATTCTTATGGGAATGGGAATGAAAAACAAGAGATACTCTTTCTTGAAATATGGACAAATGGGAGTTTAACTTCAAAAGAAGCACTTCATGAAGCCTGCCAATCAGAATTAAGATAAGGAATGACAAATATGAAAATAAGAGCTTCTGTTCGTAAAATTTGTGAAAAATGTCGCCTAATCCGTAGGCGGGGGCGCATTATAGTAATTTGTTCCAACCCGAGACATAAACAAAGACAAGGATAATCAGACTCACTAAAGGACTCGATGTAAAAATAAGGAATCTGTTTTGACATGAAATGGATATATCCATATATCTCTGACTCATATTTATGAGATGATAAAATATGGCAAAAGCTATACCGAGAATTGGTTCACGTAGAAATGGACGTATTGGTTCACGTAAGAGTGCACGTAGAATACCAAAGGGGGTTATTCATGTTCAAGCAAGTTTCAATAATACCATTGTCACGGTTACAGATGTACGGGGTCGGGTGGTTTCTTGGTCCTCAGCGGGTACTTGTGGATTCAAGGGTACGAGAAGAGGGACACCCTTTGCCGCTCAAACTGCAGCAGCAAATGCTATTCGTACAGTAGTAGATCAAGGTATGCAACGAGCAGAAGTCATGATAAAAGGTCCCGGTCTCGGAAGAGACGCAGCATTACGAGCTATTCGTAGAAGTGGTATACTATTAACTTTCGTACGGGATGTAACCCCTATGCCACATAATGGTTGCAGACCCCCGAAAAAAAGACGTGTGTAGAAATAAACATTGAAGAAATTTCAAGAGAAACAAGAGAAATAAATGATTCAATCAAATCAAATAATATTACTATGGTTCGAGAGAAAGTAACAGTATCTACTCGGACACTACAGTGGAAGTGTGTTGAATCAAGAGAAGACAGTAAACGTCTTTATTATGGACGCTTTATTCTGTCTCCACTTATGAAAGGTCAAGCCGACACAATAGGCATTGCGATGCGAAGAGCTTTACTTGGAGAAATAGAAGGAACATGTATCACACGTGTAAAATCTGAGAACGTCCCACATGAATATTCTACCATAGCGGGTATTCAAGAATCGGTCCATGAAATTTTAATGAATTTAAAAGAAATTGTATTGAGAAGTAATCTATATGGAACTTGTGACGCGTCTATTTGTGTCAGAGGTCCAGGATATGTAACTGCTCAAGATATCATCTTACCACCTTATGTAGAAATCGTTGATAATACACAACATATAGCTAGCTTGATAGAACCAATTGATTTGTGTATTAGATTACGAATCAAGAGAAATCATGGATATTTTATCAAAATGCCACTTAACTTTCAAGATGGAAGTTATCCTATAGATGGTGTATTCATGCCTGTTCAAAATGCAAATCATAGTATTCATTCTTATGGGAATGGGAATGAAAAACAAGAGATACTCTTTCTCGAAATATGGACAAATGGGAGTTTAACTCCGAAAGAAGCACTTCATGAAGCCTGCCGGAATTTGATTGATTTATTTATTCCCTTTTTACATAAGGAAGAAGAAAACTTACCTTTAGAGGACAATCAACACACGGTTCCTTTATCTCCTCTTACCTTTCACGATAAATTGGATAAACTCAGAAAAAAAGCATTGAAATCGATTTTTATTGACCAATCAGAATTCTCTCCTAGCGTCTATAATTGCCTCAAAAGGTCCAATATATATAGGACCTTTTGAATAACAGTCTGGAAGATCTCATGAAAATTGAACATTTGCACCTAGAAGATATAAAACAGTTATTGGTCATTCTAGAAAAACATTTCGCAATTGATTTACCAAAAAAGAAGTTTTAAATCTATTGGATTTTTTTTTCGTCTTTTTTTTTTCATTAAGATGAAAATAGGTTTTGAATCTTTAGCACAATTCATATATTCGAAAGAAAATCATAATTGAATAGATGTATTTGGGGAGAATTCGCTTTCAAGTGACTATTCCCTAGATACACACGTCATGTTATTTCACAATTGAATCAAATTAAAAAATACCTAAAGTTAGGGATTCATCAATAGGTAATGTTGCACCAATACCCAACAAAAGAGCGACTGCATACCAATAAAAAAGACAGTTGTCGCTACTAGACGACAAAATGGATTTTGGAATTTATTAATATTCTCTAAAAAAGGTACTGTTAATAATTCTGCAGGTACTGAAACCATTAAAAGAACACCGAATAATTTATTGGGCACTGTACGAAATATTTGAAATACCGGAAAGAAATACCACTCAGGTAATATCTCCAAAGGGATTGCAAACGGATCTGCCGGTTCACCAATCATTGATGGTTTTAGAATCGCGAAGCCTACATTACATGCAATAGTACCTAGAATTACTACTGGAAAAATATATAAAAGATCATTGGGCCATGCAGGTTCTCCATAATAATTATGACTCATTCCTTAGCCAATTGAGCTCTTAATAGAGGATAATTGAAATCAGGTTTTTTTTTTTTTTTTGGTTATTAGGATAGGTGAATTCTTATATATCCATCCCCTGAAGGAACCGGATATGATAATTTTTTATCATTCGGCTTGAGCAAGATTCAAAAGAACCAAATGAATCCATAAAAAATATATATGTTACCTATATAAACATATATGATATACACATATATGAAAAATTCAATGTAAGAAAATTTTGACTCTTTTTCGGGAATTGCAACTACCCATTTCAAAAAAATCGGTTCTAAGTAAATACTCAATACCTAAGTTGGCTTACAGAGTTGATCATGCAGAGTTGATCATGATGTGATCCAGTGCTTTCTGGGTCGTCTTAGACCTTACGATTGGTATTTATCTCCAAAATATTTGGATATATACACACAAAAGGTTTACCTTTTACTAATCTAGTCTAGCCTATGTTTTTCTTTAAATCCCTTGCTTCACTCCGATAGTATTATCGATCATATCAATGCAGAGGAAATAAATGCATTTCCATACTATTCAATTTTAAGTATTAAGTAAGTGAAATAGATGAAGATTCTATTTTAGTTTATCCATTACACTTATTATAATTATACTAGATCTTACAGAGCTTGCTCATTTACAACATGATTCAGTCTGACCATAGAAAAGAATCTCTTCAAGTGAACCAGCCTATCTTCTGTATAGGGCTTACGCGATGGTTGGAACAAAGACACATTTGGTTGTGAATTCCAATGTGGCAGACATTTATCTACACAGACCAATCAATAGTTCAAGTCACACACTCATATAATCCATTTTCTCTTCGTAGAATTCCCTTCAACTCTACATTTATTTGACATGATTGGTTGAAGGGAAATATCCATATACATGGATTATTTATTATTTTCAATAATTCATACTTGTAGCAATGAACTACTATTATTCCTCCTCCAAGTAATAAATGATTGATTACAAATATCTATTATACACCTTCTCTATAAAGGACCAGAAATACCTTATTTACGTATCATTGGAAAGTGCATTAACATAAATACAGTAGTAAGAAGTGGCAATACAAAAGCGTGTAAACTATAAAAACAAGTCAAAGTGGATTGTCCCACACTAGCACTTCCGCACAATAATTATACTAAAGGCAATCCAATTCCAGGAATAGCTTCAGGTACACCTGTTACAATTTTCACCGCCCAATAACCAATTTGGTCCCGAGGTAAGGAGTAACTAGTTACGCCAAAAGATGTGGTCAATACCCCTAGAACCACACCTATAACCCAAGTCAATTCACAAGGTTTTTCAAATCTACCCGTGAGATACACACGAAAAACATGCAGGATCATCATTAGGACCATCATACTTGCGGACCATCGATGAACTTATCGGATTAACCAACCAAAGTTAGCTTCCATCATAAAGTGTTGAACAGAGGGCAAAAGCCTCTGTAACGGTCCGACGATAGTAAAAAGTCATAGCAAACCCCGTAGCTACTTGTACTAAAAAACAAGTGTAATTCCCCCTAAACAATAAAATATATTCACATAGGGAGGAACGTATTTACTAGTTATATCATCCAAAATCACCTGAATCTCGAGACGTTCTTCGAACCAATCATAGACTTTATTGAGATAGGTGAAAATACTTTCATCTCGTATAGCTCAAGCAAAAACACCCAAATACTAGTTGCAACGGATATGTAATAGAAAGTTTGAAACTTCTTAATCTTTGATTCAATTTCATCTGAATGTATGAAAGAATAAAAAAATAATCCGAAAGCTCTTCTTTGTGGCGATAATACCAAAATGTCAAGTTGGCTCAATCATCTTTATGTTGATCCTTATGGGCCTCTTCTTTAAATATTTCTTTAATTTGTTTTTATTTCTAATGTGGCTTTTTTTGTTTTCTTTATTATTGAATTGATAGGAATTATCTTGTTAAGACCCTATGCATCGATTAAAACCTCAAATTCATACTAAAACAACGATGATTCAACTAAGCTAAGCCAAGGATTATCTGAGTAAGAACCGTTGGATTATCACTTATTCCATCAATAGATAGAATTTTTTTTAATTCTAATTCTTTTAAATTTTTTGTTGGAATCTAGACACGAGGTTGAATATTAAGTATGAATCATAGTTCAAATATTTCTTAATCTAGTTCATATATTCTGTGTTCGAGATACTAGAATAAATTTTTGACGAAGTAGAAACATCTCTATCAAGATAAGAGACACATTCTCTATACTATCAATAGGATCAATTATAACAAGTCACACACTCATATTCCAAAAATACAGAAAGAAATAAATTCCACGATCGAACTACCGAAATATAATGGGCTAAAATTTCGAGCTCTAGCTGATTTTTTTTTAATTCAAAAGGCAGGACTTTGCGGTTCTTATAGATTTAATTCATTGAAATTCCATCCAATAAAATAGAAGAATTATAAATCTCCAAAAAAATAGATAGAAATATTGTAAATAGAGCCATTGCGACACCCATCAAAGGAGTCGTTCCCCAATCGGGAGCTACTTTACCATATTCCAAATTCAATGGTTTTAATAAACTTCCTATAGTAGTTCGTCTTGGACTAGATCTAGAATTGTTCTCTACAATTTGTGTAGCCATAAATCCTATTGTATTCATTGAGATCTGTTGACTTTGTATGCCATTCTGTTGTAAATAAACGATCTTATCATAGATCAATTGCGATCTTGAAATTATAAAATCATAATGGAAACAATAACCCTAGTCACCATCTTTATATCTAGTTTACTTGTCAGTTTTATTGGGTACGCCTTATATACCACTTTTGGGTAACCTTTTCAACAACTAAGAGATCCATTCGAGGAACATGGGGACTAGTTGAAGTAATGAGCCTCCCAATATGGAGAGGCTCATTACTTCAATTCAGATCATCTTTTTAGTTGAAACTTTAAGCGGTTCTCAAAAAAAGATAGCGAAACAAATTATCCCTAGAGTCGAGACTAAGAGGAATGTATAAACTAATGCTTCCACAGATTCAATCGTGGTTTACAATTATGGAATCTAAAAAGGGAAAAAAGAGGAAAAAAAATGGGGGATTAGTCACAGATATTTAATTGTATCTCTAATCTTCTTCATTCCTTCCCATGTCAATAACTAGAATGAAAAAAAGGGAAATGTCAACACATCCGAGAAAAAAACGATTAATCTCTATCAATAGACCTACTAAAGCCCTAAACCATAGCGTACTTAGTACTGGTGCAACAGAGAGCTATGTTTTTAGACCTCGCATTGAAAACCCTCCTTCTTTTATTTATTGTAATACATAACGATAAAGCATATATGATCAGCTAGATAAGTAGTTAAGGACCACTTATAGTTGTACATGGAATCCCTAATTCAAATTGAAATGTACAATGATCCATCAGATTTTCTTTTTCTTAAAACAGAAAAAAAGATCTCCTAGTAGCGAGTATTTCCGAAAAGTAGTCTTTTTTTTTGCAATGGGTTCTATATTTCGTATATATATAATAAGTTTTTTACTTTTCTTATTATTATATGTTAAATGAAACCAAAAATATGAAATGGGCAGAAAATATGTGTACATCAATGGAACGACTAAGGATGTGGAAAACATGATAGGAATTCTCTACAATGACACTGTAGAACAATTGAAGGGATGTGGTGTAGCTTGGCAGCGCGTTTGTTTTGGGTACAAAATGTCCCGGGTTCAAATCCTGTCATCCCTACCTATTACTGCTCCTTTGAGTAGTAGCGAGGAATCAACTGAGATCCATTCAAATTGGGCAAAATCTTTCATTTTTTTGAAACTATATAGTATATGCAGACAAAATGAAAATGGATTAGGGTTACAAAAATAATCCTTTTCTTTACAGTCTTATCTTATTCTGATAAGAAAACGCTCTTAGTTCAGTTCGGTAGAACGTGGGTCTCCAAAACCCGATGTCGTAGGTTCAAATCCTACAGAGCGTGATTTTTTCTTTATAGATCAAATTAGAATGAAATTGATTCATTTACTTGCACATCAATCAGAATTTGACCTCCTATGGATTAAAGAAAGGCGGAGGTCAATCAAAAAAAGAAATGTTAATTAATCAAAGGTCCAACTGATCACCACGCCTGCATTGTAAATATGCAGTTATGAATAACCCAGCCAATGTAATAGGAATTAGACCTAACACGAATTTCAATTTTTTTGAAAAGGAAGGAAAAAAGAGGTAATATCTATACCTAAATATTAATCCGAATTGACATGAATCTTAATGACCAAGAATTGATGCAGTAAGTAACTATAGATTACACCGAATCTCACAGAAAGATTTCTTTTAGGAATTATTTCTTTCAAATAGAAATTTCAAATAAGTCGTAACTTGC